AATATTATTAAAAAAGTTTTTTCGAAAATTCAACATTTTAGAGATTGCATCGTCGTTGAATACGAGCGACATAATTTCCGTGCAAGAAGGCAAAAATATACGACTGAGATGCGCCGCTAGTGGGACACCGCAACCCGTTATACAGTGGACCAAAATAGACGGTTCCACGATTCCTATGGGAACCTGGCAGGGTATAGTCGAATTTTCTAATTCGCGATAATAAATAGCGAATAATGAACGAGCGAGAGATTAATGAGCTTTCATATTAAAAAAATCTTACGACTTTAGTGAGTTCGACTATGGGCCCTACCTTTAATATCAGCGTGATAACCCGGGAACACATGGGCGAATACGTGTGTAACGCTGACAACGGAATAGCACCAGCAAGTTCCAAAAAGTTTAGACTTCAAGTCAAATGTAAGCACGTTGCAATCTTCCTAAAAAGAAAATTTTTTGATATATAATATATGTAAAAATATTATAATAATTTTTCTTTTTTCGTGTATATTTTTTTTACTACTACCTTTCAATATTATCATGTTTTACAAATTTATAATTAATTTCTTTTGAATTTTATTTTTTTCTGTACTAATTGCTTTGAAAAATGCTATATAATTCAATATTTTTTTTCTAATTTTTTATTATATCGATCTTAACACGTTATATTATAAATATAGATGATAATACATTTAATGATTTTTAAAAAGAAAAATTTAATAAATCTTCTGATACTGTAAGATAAAAGTGTATAATTTGTAGGTTTTGATTAGAGTGAGTGATTCCGAAAGGACCAATATTTTATTAAAACCGATATAGATATAGGTAGAGACAAAACTGATAATCGATCGCGTTCCAGTTCCGCCGTTTATTCGTATACGCAACCAAGTGGTTCTCGTACGAAACCAAAATCCGGCGACATTGGAATGCGAGGTGGAGGCCTTTCCCGAGCCGGTGGTACATTGGGAACGCGGCGATGGTCGCCGTTTGAAAATGTCAGATAAACACAGGATGGATGTTTATGACAGACGAGATAATTATAAGGTAGTCTTTATCAAACTGCGTAACTTATTTTCTGCGTATTTCTCTCTTCTAGCTATTGTCTATTTGAAATAAAAAATATATATAATATTTGCATATTTGGCATATAAATTCGATAATATGCAAAATCGTTCTCTTACTCGCTTGCCATTTTTTTTTATCTCATAACTTATGACACTTTTTGTAATGCGTGTGAAATTATTCCGAAAAGTTGAAGATGAAGCTAAAAATCACGAAAGTGATGTCGTCGGATCATGGGATGTACCATTGTGTGGCGAAAAATGATCTTGACGTTACCAAGGGATCCTTTATACTAGACGGTTTGTCTTATTACATATTTTATTCGCTATAACTTGGTAATATAAATAACGAAGAGCCATCACAGGATTAATTAATTAATTATAACATTAACATATAAAAGGCAGAGTCTCACGTTCTTCTATTTGATCTGATATTGAAACAAATTATTATTATGATTTTACAGTGAAATAATTGCAAGCAGAACTAATATTTCCAATTCTCTCAATACTCAAGTAAAAAGAATCCGCATAGTTTATCAAATTCATATAGATAAGATGAATTCTAGAAAACGTGGAGAACATCTGACTTTCGCTTTTATATTTCTGGAATAATTTTCCTAAGATTTTCTAAAAAATCCAAGATTTCATTTTTCTGTTTAATTTAGTTTCTCTCTTAAGTATCTCCTAGAATACATCGCCTATTTCCGAAAATTAATTTTATTATTGAATTTCTTAATTAATATAATAATAATACATAATATTCTAGACGACATAAGAGATGTAGAGAAACTCAAGTTAGGGAAGGAGCAGCACGTTACGTATGGGCATCCTATGCCCCCGAGCGTTGATCAGGAACAAGAATTATGCAGTCGGCAAGAAACTTGCACGACGTGCCCAAAGTGCACGTACGCAAATATAATGGACGCGCACATTCAACCATTGCGTGGTGTTAATATGACGGGGCTACAACCGCGATTAGCCGGTACGTTTAATCATTTCTAACTAATATATTCTAGCAACGTTCTTGTGGTAGATAAATTAATTTCAAGAGGTAGAGCATAAAGTTGCAGCGTAAACACAGACATCTCACAATAAGATATAAGCCTCACTGTATACAACATTTTATAATTAAACGAACATGATATTTTTACAAATTTTTATTTAAAAGAAAAAGATAAAGAAATGCAACACACAATAAAAATTTAAAAAAAAAAAAAAAGTAATAAAATGTAACGGGAAGAATATTTCCGTGCAACTTTATGAAAGTAAAATATCGAAGCAAATTGCTTTTTATATTGACTTTTAGCCATTTCAATATTTATGAAGAGAAAAACAGAAAAACTTGTTTAAAAAGAAATTATTTAATTAAGACACTCATTCTCATTTAACGGATTTTAATTGGATTTTAACTACAAGTTCTTCGAGACGTTCTTTCGATTCATTTTAATTCATCTACTTTTTCTACGAATATCTATGGCGGGTCAAGCGCAACTGGAAAATAGTATAATTAATGATTGAAAAGTGCAGTGTCGTGATATGTTCGCGAAAGTTTACGCAATTAACCGAGCACTCGTCAAATGCGAGAGTGTCCTTGAGTACCGCGACGAAAAATAAAACCTCTTCACGTCGACTCTCCAACTTTCGGGACTCGAATATTAATAATCGACGTCGGTAAATTCGCAGAAGGTTTGATAGAAGCCGTGGGAAAACCTGTTCTGAAAGGAAACATAGACAACTATAATGGAAGTTGGATGCACGATGCGTTCTCCCATATCATGTCCGATAAACTCTATGTAACTCGCAATAACGTTCACGACATGTCCCACATCTACGAGTACAATAGTAAATCGAAGGGACATCACAAGAACGAGTCGGGTGTTGAGATACCATTGCCTCGTCCTTTTCAGGTCGGTAATTTAAAAATTTAAAAAAAGCGACAAATCTCTCTCTCTCTCTCTCTCTTTCTAATATTATATTTACGCAATTTCTGAAGAGCTATAAAAATATACATTAAATGATAAAAAGACAAAAATGTAAATCTTAAAAATCACGTAAAATGATAACGTAAAATTGATGTTTGACGAGCGAAGAAATTTCAAGTAAGAATTAAACTTGTGATCGATTGTTTTAGGGTAACGGACATGTAGTTTACAACAAGTCGTTCTTTTATAATCCCCAAAGTGAATCGAGCATCCTTCGATTCGATCTCTCCTCGGAATCCGAATGCAGTCGATATTCCAGCAAATGCGTGCTGTCGCTACCGAGTTTGCTGGTCAATACTAAGAACTTCCTCTACATGCACAATTTCACTTATGTGGATTTGAATGTAGATGAAAACGGTAAAACGACAAGTCAGCTTTTTCTCCCGATATACATTTTTCAGATATTATAAATTGAAATATATCACAGAGACGTATATAATTAAATAAAGTATATTGTAATAAAAAAATTTAATATCATATAGATATACAAAATACGTGGCGTTTGCACAGGTTTGTGGGTTATTTACGGATTACCGTCCAATAATACGGCAGTGGTGAAAATTAACCCCACGAATATGACCGTTCAAAAGGCGTGGAACATCAGTATCGATCATCATAGATTCGGAGAGATGTTTATCGCGGGAGGGATGCTTTACACTATACACAGTGTCACTGAAGAAACTATGAAGATACGGTAACGCGAGAAATATTAATTATTCTTGATGCTACTTATAAGAGCACAAATATCCCGTGAAAATTCTTGAATGTTCTTTAATATATAATTTCCTCATAATTCCTTTTTTAATAATATTCATTAATCATTCATTTGCCACTATGTAAAAAAGTTTTCATGTATATATACATGTTATATTATAATTGTTTTTCATAATAATATATTTATAATAATCGTTCTCTTTTTTTCATATACGAATATATACAGGGTGAGTTTTTTAACTTGAAACTGTAAAATATCTCGGAAAGTAAGCTTTATCGAAAAAAATGTTTCAAACAAAAGTTGTAGGGTTCGGAGGGGGCCACATGATAAAAATATGGATTTGACCAAGAGTGACCTTCTCAAGGTGAGGTCAATGTGATCGACGTTTTCTTAAATGGAGAGCTTTTCAAAACACTATAACAAAGTATTTTTTCATTAAGTACTTTTTGAGTTATTTTATATTTTAATCTGACA